ACGATGGAGATTTCAGCTCCGTTTCGATTCAATTTTTGAGAGAGGAAATGTCCATTTTGCAGCTCTTACTTTGACATCGGTATTATCGTGGTCGGTGACGACAGTGAGGATCGGAGTTCCGGGCAATGCTTTGCACTCAGTTTCGACGATGTCACGAAGAACATGAAGAATCGTCGAGGCTGTGCTTTCGGGTAATTCCACCGGCGACACAGGTGGCAAGGGACTCCTGTTGCTCAGCCTCTGCGCCTCTTGCATCGCTTTCTTCAAGCTCGATTGATTCGCTTCGCTGGTGCTTTTACCAATCTGCGAGCTCCTCACCGCGTTGTCCACTACCTGTGGAAAATGTTTCCACCGTTTCTGTCGTAGCAAACGGTTCGTTTCGTCGGGGAAATTTCGAACTGGAATTCGTACCTGGCTCCAACGATAACTGGCAGATCGCAGCACGGCCATTTTAGCGATTCTTTTCCACTTGGCGACGTTGTCTTCGCCTTCGGTCGGTCGCTGAAGAGACTCCAGCTGTTCTTTCGAATCTGTGCCTGATGCAGGGATCGTCACGTGGATGTCCTTCATCAGCTGTCGTTCCCAGACCTTCATTTTCTTGCCAAGAACGGCTGGAATCATTCGCAGAAACGATTCAAAGTGCCCGAAGTTATTTTAATTAGTCGTCACTCACTTCTTTCTTTGATATCAGCCCCGGCAATATCCATGCCGTTCCTGCTGAAAATCTCCAGCAATTCACACCTCCACGACGACAGGTCTGACTTCAGTTCGTGCACGTCGTCCTCGGTGACTGGGTCCATTTCTCGTTCAGAGTGCGCGTTCACGACGTACCGCCATACCAGAGCTCTCATCACGGCTTCATATCTAAACACGAAGAAGTTAGAAAATAATTCAACGTGCTACTGTGCGTAGCAGCTAAGAGCTTGAAGTTACTTGGAGCTGTATGCTTGTTTGCCATCGTTCGTCTCTCCCTCGACTTTCTTCCTCTGCAGGCCGCAGAGCCTGAAAAGCAGCTTCGGTGGCGGGAGAATGTTGAACGGGGGAGGAAGAGTGCCACCGTCCTCAAAGTAACTCAGCCACAGCTTCGTCCTCGCGAACTTCCATTCTTTGTCCGCGCGTTCCTGCGCGTTCGATTCGAAAAAGGCAGAAAGCCTTTACATGGTGCGACGACTTTGTCAGTTTTTCAAAAAAGCAATTCACCTCGATGACTGCGTAGCTGTTGCTCATCATGGCGATCAGAAGATTCAACAGAACGATCACATTGATCACAGAGTAAGAACCGAACATCAACAGGCCCCAGAATCGAGTGTAACTCTTGATCCCTTAGAAAAAGCAGCTCTATGGTCGAGTTCATTGGGGAGGGAAAAAGAGAAGGAAAAGGAATTAGGTAGTTTACCTGCGAGTTCGAACGTTTCTATGCCGACACTGCCGAAACTTGCCCAGAATAAACTCTGGCACGATTCGAAGAGATTGCTAAACCTGCGAAATAGAGAAACTGACGAGGACTCTCAGTGGACTGTCATTACTATAATACCTTCTCCATCTTAGACAAGACTCGCTGGCAGGATCCCAAGATGGATCGCCAATGCCGCTGTAACACTTCCGTCTTTCCAGTTCAGCGAAGTACCAGAGCAGTTGATTCAGGCCGCAGGCAAACGCGAAAAGCACCAGCGTGTAAATGAAGAAGAACTTGACGATGTCTATCACCATTCTGCCTAGAGATATCTGGATGAAATTCGAAAGTGTTCCTCACAAATACTGGATAGGTATCAGCTGACAATTGAAAGCATTACCTGAAGGGGCCCCAAGTGAGGATTGATACTGAACAAGTGGATGAGTTTCAAGGCGCTGAAGATATTCGCGGCTGCGAACAGACCCTCCGCTATTAACTGAGGATCGAAGTCGCTCCATGTTTCCCTCGGGACCAACGCAGCCGCAGCATCTTGGCTGATCTCTGCTCTTTGTTGAAGGTAGGCAGCCGTTCTGAGAACCATCGTCGCGACGTAGAGAGAATTCCTCGTGAAGTCGATGAAATTCCACATGTCTCGTAAATACGCCCTCAGACCGTCCACGTAAGCCTTGAAATTTTTAATTAGATTTTTGCCCCCCACTGTGATGATGCATGTGACAACAGACCAATACACTCAGACACAGAGAGTGCTACCTCTCTCGCCTCTTGCCAAATGAATCCAAAAACGTAGAGGACAACGACACACTCCAGGGACGAAGGTGGCGCGCCTCTTTGCCTCGCCAATTCCGTCTCGATGTTTTTCCTTGCTTCTTTGCTGCCGAATATCTTCACTATTTCCACTTCTGCGCGTTGCGACACCAGCATCAGGATAACTGATGAACGAACAATCCCCAGTTCGTCTGAGATCTGTTATTAATCAATTACCATACTAAATGAATGAAAGACTCACACAGAAAGAGGACGTACGACGCGGCGTGGACGAGGAACTTGACGAATGGCTTTCGCATCGTTCGACCGGCTTTCGATTCTGGCGCTAGCAGGTACATTGCAGAGTAAAATGGGAACGTGATGGCAGTCCTTGCCAGGACGCCGCATTTTTTCAACGTGCTCATACGCCTGAAGCCAGGCAGGCCATCGTACCTTGATTGACCAGTCAACGAAAGACGATACCATTTACAATCGAACGTTCAGACTCTGATTGATGCTCAGACCAGGGGACAAAAGTATGTAGAATTTCATAAAACGATAATTTATTTCCGCCCGGCAATGAACTCACCAGATCGCTGCCAACAGTTGCTGCACGTGGGAATGAGCGACGAAAGTTTTCTGCTTATGCCGTATGGCCAATTCCAATCTAGCCAGCTGCTTCGTCGCCAAGTTCCCCTGGTCCTCCGGATCGTAATTGAGGATCGTGTGCAATTCCGTGGTGGTTCGCACTTGTTGCAGCAGATCAACAGCGAATCTACGATCATCGAAACGTAATCGACGAAATACTCGCAGGATGACGAGAACAAACGAAGCTTTACCGCTCTGTCTGCCGTCGGAGCTTCAGATATTCGCCTCTGCTCTCCGGCTCGGCGATCGCCAGTTCACGAAGTTCCCAGCTCAATTGGAAAGCTGTTAGCAGAGGGTCCATCGAGCTGAGAGCTATCAAACTCGGGCTCGCCAGTGCTTTGTACTCGGAAATTCTCGTGGACGATAGTCTCAGAGGATCTGTAAAAAAAAAAAGAAAAAAAAAAGAAAAAAGAAAAGGGAAACAATATTATCCCACGATTGAAGCTTACGACGAAGAGATGAAAGTTCGACTTTGAAACAGCTTACCCGCTGCCGATCGCAGACAATCGGCGCATCCGCATTTAATGTCGTGAGGCATGGGCAGAGTAGCACCACGATCCAGCAGCAGCTTCAAAATCTCGTAGTTGTTTCGCTGCGCGGCCAAGATCAGAGGCGTGATCTCTGGCGGGTATCTCGCGGACGTTGGCTCGACCTTCTGCCAACTGTGGATCACCTCTCTCGCCGCTGTAAAATGACAGATTGTAGCGACAATCGTCGGAAATTTTACGATAATTTCAATACAAAAGGTTTAAGTTAGGTTTAGGTTTAGGTTAGGTTTATGTTTAAGTTTAGGTTTAGGTTTAGGTTAGATTTAAGTTTAGGTTTAGGTTAGATTTAGGTTTAAGTTTAGGTTTGGTTTAGGTTAGGTTTATAGAGATGGGGATAGCTCAGTCGGTAAAGCATCAAGATTCTTAATCTGAGGATTCAGGGTTCGAGTCCCTGTTCAGGCGAAAAAAAAGACGTTGTCCTTTAGGACAAACAGCACGGGAGAGCTCTGTGTGTTGTATAAAAAGGTCCCGGAACTCTCCCAACTTGTAGAGGACGGCCATTGTGGAGGTTTTAGTCGGTAAAAATCC